TTAAAGCAAGCAAGTTTCGGCCTTTCCGGTTGGCCAGAGATCGTTCCTTCCTTTCTTATTCACTCAGTTATTGAAATTAGAGAGTGGACACGCCGGCCGGCCGGCAGAGTGACGAAGGTGAGGTCCACGTTACTGACAATGTGGGGAGATGATTCTCGAAGGTGTCTCGGTAATGAACGAGCTAGAGGCTTGTAGGTTGCATTCTTATCGATCGGCTCTAGCTATCAGTGCTGTAACTTGATCTCGTCTACTGATCGACAACCCTAACAAATTCAGTCGCAGCTGCTCTAGCTAGCAGATTGGACGACTTCGTTAAGTTGAAGCCTTGAAGGGAGAACGCGCGTAACATTAGTTCTCAGAAAACAAAGCCGTCGCTGGTCGCAGCCATGATCGATCATGGACGTCCCAGTTAAGAAACCACTGCTTATTGTTTCTGTAATATATAGACAAAAATGGATCGAATCGAATTCCATCCCACGGCCAAATTCAAATGACTAGCTATCTAGAGACCCTCATCACCATCCTCCCAAACTAGTAAATTTTGACTGACAGAGGATTCGATTTCGAACACATTATTACAAATACATGGTGCTCGTGCTCACTACGGTGTTCACAATAGAAAGAAGTACCAACTTCATTATGAGTTGCATACTTTGGCTCGTTGCCCCAAAAAAATTGCTGTGATGTCCATTTGACCATGCCATCCCTAGAATGAGCTAGACTGTGCCTAGCACCATTAACCAGAGGCCTTGGATATAATGCGATTGCGCCGCTTGGGAGTTGTGAGTAGTGACAAGCTTCATTCATTCCTCCGATTTACTACTCACTGTAATACCCTGTGTGACAGTATCATCAAACTCCAGGTATAATTATCATGTCGGCCGCCCTTTTACAAGTGAAGATCACCACCGTGCAATCTGTTGGATCATCCCACACAAAATCAATGGTCAAAGATGAAGGAGATCCGGATGAATCGGCTTGTGGGGTCACAAGTTAAAAACAGACACGCATTCCTGGTTTGTTAGAGCCTCTATATAATAAAAACAAGGACGAGTACAAATGGTGATAGTCAGAAAGGTTGATGTTGTCCAATCAACAACATTTTCCCTCGAGACTCAACAGAGTGTTTTTGTTGTTCTTCCAAAGAGGAATAGGGAAAATAAAGGAAAAAGGAAAAGATTGAGAAAATTAAAATATCTTAAAAGAAATGGGGTAAGTTGAGTTGGGATGAGATGTATATAAAAGGTGCGCATGTGACTGTCCTATACTAAATTTTAAAACAACAGACTCTCACCTTATCCTTATCTAGGTACCCTACGTGCTCCATAAAATCTGTGGGCCCTAACTAAAATGATTTAATAGATAGATAAATAGATAGATAGATGGGTTAAAAAAATAAATATTTGTTTTTCTTCCTTCTTTTCTTCTTATGCATTTAAGAGGCTTTTTCTGATCTCTTATATGGAATCAATCTCCTCCCTCAGTAAATCACTGCTGATTGGCTAACGAATATCGGTCACAACTCATCACAAGGGTTCAATAGATGTCTACCGATTTTCCTTGTATCTCTTTGAATTTGTAATATATTGACTATTGGGAAATGGCTCCTCTCTTCTCCGCTACCACTCTTGTTCTTGCCTTCTGATATTATTATCAAAAATATCGAGTTATCTGATGTATCACCTCTCCATAAAAAAGAAAAAAAAGAATTAATATGAATTGGATTTCAGTATTGAAACATTCAGTGAGTATACTGATAAGCTTGAATATATTGATACATATATTTTTAGAACTTTAAGGAATGTAAGATCTTTTATGGGGTCCTCTTATTATTATAAAATTAAAAAAATTAAAAAAATGTATCAATCATATTGATATGTACCATGGGTATGTATCCATGTGTATCGGTATTTTAATCCTTGCCCTCAACATACGATATAAATTATTCCAAGCAATCTTCTAAAACGGCTGTATTGAGTGTTTATACAGTGTGCTATAACAAGGGTTTGTCTACTAGACCAGTTTCAATTATTCATGGTTTTCAAAATTGGACCAGACTAGATGGTTGGACCGAAAAAACCGGGAACCAGTTAGGTGACTGGTTTCAGTTTTTCTTAAAACCGGAATTTCTTCAAAAATCATTGATTTTGGTCAACAAACCACTGACCCAAGTGGTTAACTGTTTGAACCGTTTAAATGGTTTTGACCATTTTTTAATTTTTTAATTTTTTTAAATCTTTTATTTTTTATCAAAATGGGCCGATCATTTGATTCGAACTGTCAGACCGTTTGACCCAGTAACCAGACCCCTGACCAGTTCGGTCTCCGGATCAGTTTTAAAAACCATGATACACATTCCTATTTAATAATAAAACTCCCATGTCCATCAAAGCATGAAAAGATAACCTCAATTTCAACATACACTACAATGATTAGGAATTTAGGAAATGAGAATTGGTCCATTCTAGATGATGAAATAGGGGGCAGGAAGAATTTATTCTACTGAATTTAATTGTAGTGAACTAGTGATTTGATAATTCACTCTTCAGTCTTGACTCTTCCATTAATTTCCAATCCTCACAGTCGCACTGACCCATGCAGATCAACCTGAGGCTGTATTTGATCGAGTACAAAGTGGGAAAAACAGTTCACCCATTTTCCCACACGAAAATAAATAATTAAGTGGAAGAAAACAGATAGATTCTAGAACTTACTCAAGTAATGTTGGTTTTTCAACCTACAACTATCATGAAAGAAAAGAAACCAAACAAGAAAAAAATATTAAAATGGGATGCACTTTTAAGAAAGCTTTTAGTAACGAGCAATGTTAGTGTCACGAGCCTTGTCCGAGACAAGACATAAACAAGGGTTATTTGAAAACGCATGGGGTCATATGATTCAGGAGCATGTTACCATCCAACTTGGTAACAAAATAACACCCTTTGATTATTCTTCCATATGTGACATATATTGGGAGAAAAATGATGTATTTGATCACCATGACCATGGATATATGTCAAATACATCATATGGTGATTTATACTATTTTAATTTTGATTAAGTTTATACTATTTTAATTTTGGTATCAAATTTCGTTTGGTGATTTAAACAATGTTTTTAATATATCAATCAAATTTATACTTTTCCTTTCGATATACGGGTCAATCTGTTTGACCCATGATGCTATAAATAAAATAATAAATGTTTATTAAGATAAAAAATCAGATAAAATTATTTATTATGGTTTTCCCCAATATTGACAGAGGACTACTGCAGTATTCTGATATGATAGAAGCAAGGAAGCTTTATCAATCACACAAAGGACCGTATGATTATAATCTTTGTATCTACAAAGCAACAGTTGGGATTTCAATTCTTAATCTCATTCTAATTTGCTAGTTTTATGTTTGAACTTTCAAATTTCAATGTTTTGAATTTATTGTCCATCTCTACACCAAATACAGTTGAAGGTTGATGTAAACAAAATAAAGTGATAGATTGAGAAAAAGTGAAAAAAAACTTTGCCCCCCACCCCCTCAAATCCATTCCCCCCA